CGCGCCCGTTCGCCTCCCGCCCACCGCCTCGCCCCCCAGCCTACCCTTTAAATTCCTCTGTGCGCCTTTCTGTCTGTTAAATTCCTTATAACTTATGTATTTTTCCACTCCAGAAAAAAGCACATGCAAGCCCTAAACTGTAGAACAGAGAATGGCTACCCCTTGGGAAAGGCTTGAGTTGGGAAACTTTCCATTCCACAGTCTTTCTCTCTTTCTCCCTCTTGCAAGCCCCTGGCTGAAGTGACTGCATTCGTTTGCTCTGCAATCCAGCTTTCGGGATTCATTTACTTTGAGAAATCCTTTCCAGGTTCTATGTAGCATATGGAGTAGTCAAGAATTAGTTACCCCTGCCCCAAACACACAAGTCACACAGAAAATGAGATTTTAGATCTGGACTTGAAGAAACAATATAGTGGTCAAGAGCATGGACTGGGGAATCAAACTGAACTAGATTCCAATTCCAGGTCTGCCACTTACCAGCTGTGTGTTCTGGGACAAGTATTTAACTTCTTCGGGCTTCAGTTTCCTCCTCTATAAAATGGGCATATAATACTACCCACCTTGGTGGTAACTGGGAGAACAGAAATAACACTTGTATGGTGCTGGGTAAATATCATGGAACAAATGTTAGCTGTGACTCATCCTCATATTGTTCAACTGGGGAAACAATAGCCGGGGGAGATGGGACCCACCCAAGGTCACACGGCTCAGAGCTGTGACTCGAACCCAGCTCCCTAGGATCAAAGTCCAACGTGAAAATTACTTGCCTGTTCCCATATCCTTGCACCCCAAAACGCCATGTTGGTTGGTTGCCTCTCTCATCATACACCTACACACATCCCACCACATAATTAAACACATATTTTGTAAGCTCGTTTAAGTATGACAGTTTTATATTTTGAAGGACCAGTTTTCTCTCGTACCAGCCCCTGCCCAATCCTTTTATTAAAATACAGTAATTTTAAGGGAAAATGATTTTTTAGATCTCTGACACTGACCCAACCTACAGGAAGAAGAGTCTTTCCAGCCAGTCTTAAAACACTGAGAAGGATAGATGCAATATTTACAAATAAACCCAGCCGGATGGAGAGCTTTAAAAGGGAGAGCCAATCTACCCTGCAGCCATTTTGCACAACTTGCTTAAAGGATGCAACATACATCAAAGAAAGGAAACTCTGGGGAGGAATTTAAACACCCTGTCTTCTCCACTGCCTCTCTAGTATTTACTTATAGTTCTCCCACAAAACAGGGCAGGCAAGAGGGTAGGCAGGGAGGGACAGTCTCCTTGCCCAACGCAGGCAAGAGCACTGCTCCAGTCTGCTTTTTGTGGATAGTGTTGGAATGTGCATTGGCATCCAGGCCTTTTAAAAGCCTGTCAGGGGGCACCCCACCCCATGCTGAAACACTGCCCTGTCTAGCGGAGTTGCTAAGTGGCACTTGTGGTGTAACATGAAAAGTATGCATCGCACACACTTACCAAGTCAAAGATCCTTTTATGAAGGTACATTAAAACAATTTTCAGCCCAGCAAGCTCAGTTCTTGCTATTGAAAAGTTCAGGGCAATAAAGGGGTGAGATTTTTGCTGAATCTGTGTTTGTTATTTTTTTCCCCTCTCTTCTCTCTTTTATATGGCCATCATTTTGTAACAGAGACTTATTATAAGAAACCCTTTAACTACAAAGAAAACACACATTTTAAGCAAGGGAACACAGAGGAATTTACAAAACATTTTAACACACTGTCATTAAGGTAGTTGTAAAGATACACAAAGCACTACATTATGTGCCAATTTCTACTTGGTCCATGAGGCTTATGACTCCAAATGCTTATTTAAGGTCCTTAGAGTTCCTTGGAAACTGAGCTCATTTAGACCGGATAATGGAGGGGGATGAAAGTTGTTAGACAAGAGTAGAGGAAGCAGCTATATTGAAAGTACAGCAGGAGAAACTTAAGTGAGAGATGGGAAACATGGCATCACTGACAGGTATGTGTATACAAGGATCTGTTATCCAGGGGAGGCTGCTGCACATTCTTGCTTAACATCTTTTCAAAGAGTAGAGATGCACTGGTCCCAGGGAAGTGAAGATGGGGAGGGATGTCCTCAAAATTCTCTTCATTCTGATTTCTTAAGCTACGGAATCAGCCTCATCGAGGGAGAGCACTGCTTCCAAATTTCTTACCTCTATACTGTATCATTGCACAAAAATAACAACATTAGTGTGTCCCTCCATGTGTGTGGTAAAGGTTGGGCAACTCGATGTTTTCTTTCTTTGTGTAAGAAAATGTAAAATGTGTAATTACCTTAAAGTTCTCAACTGAGAAATGAACTTGGGCCTTGAAATGAATAATCAGTATTTAAATCCCAGTGAATGGAATAGTATGGGTTTCTTATAATGTGACAGTATTCGCTAGTCAATTAATCATTCCTCATCATGAATTAATTATGCTGATAGCAATAATTGGAGCTATTACTTAATCCAAGTATTAATTTATAAAACAGACCCATGATTTAGCCACATGCTAATTATTTCTTCATCAGTAAATGCTTACACTTCTTGAAAACTTGATTCTGCCTCCTAATTCTTCATTTTAAGTAAAATGAAGGAAAGATACATAAATAAGCCACAATTCTTTAAATACATATCCATGTACTATAAAGATTAATGAGTAGGGTAGAAAGTGAAAAATAGACCCATTTGTCCATAATGAAATGTAAACTACTGACACCCATTTTAAACATCAGTCACAGGGTTGGAAGAAACTTTCCCAAATATCTTCTTGTTATGGCATAAAATAACATTCTGATGTGTCATCTCTATTTTCTTTGTGTTTGATCAATGATCTAATAAATGTATTTCCAACCAACAAGCAAACAAAAAGTAAAAACCAAAAGCAAAAGTTTGAGAGCAAAATCCATTTTGTTTCAGAGTAACTGTATATTTGTCAGTGTGACACAGCACATTTGAAACCCATAATCATAAAACAAAAATTTATAGCCAGGGTTCAGGGTCTACATCTGTTTCTCTGGTTTTCGTACAGCAATTACCCACTGGACAATCCAGAAAGAAACACCATGAATCACGCTCTGCAAACATGTTTGAACTGGAGAGTTTTCTGAAGAAAGAGCAGTCGTGTCTGTGCACCAGTATTGCAGCCGGCCGTGTTCAAAATTGGGCTAATACCTTGTGATGTCTAAATAAGAAGATTTTCAGAGGCGCAGACATATCCCCTCCACCACAGGCGCAGGCATGCAAAGGGCAGGCAGACACAAGCACAGGGCTGGGGGAGGTGGACACTGATTGTTTTAAAGACATGCCCACCTCTTTCATGTTGTTTTGGCTTTTTGTTTGTTTTTTAAATTTTCTCCCTGTTAATCCCCTCTTGCCACAGCTCTGCCAGAAGAATAAATGGCTAGTACTGAGTGACATGTGTGTTCCAGCAGGAAAGCCAAGGCAGAGATGTCGCCAGCACGAGGCAAGTATGAGGCTGTTCCCAGGGCTTCCATACTAGCAGGCAGAGCTGCTTTTGTGTTGGAGGGGAGTGGGGGAAGTTCTAACAGTAATAACACATGGAAACTTTGCTTCTGGCCCTTCAGTATGAACACCTGCTCACATAACAGGACTGCTGATATTTGTGGATCTTATACCAAAAGACCCCAATGCGCTTTCCAGATGAACTTGCACGGTGGCTCTGGGCATGAGTATAGAGACTTTTCAGAAACCCTAGAAACATGTCTTCTTCAAAAATGTCTTTCTACTTTGAGTGTTGGCCACCGTGTCCTTCATTTGGCTCCTTTCTCTTCAGCTCTCTGCTTTTTCAGACTTTCCTCCACAAAGTCCTCCCACTTGGTTACATACAAATATTGTTCTCCCAAGACAAGGGCATACTTTTCTCTTTCCATATTTCTGAATTATTTTCTTTAGCGCTTCTGTGCTTTCTGCTGTTGATGACTCATAAAGACACCTCTTCAAGCCCAACAGTTTCCGTTGGTTCCAGCTTGAAAGTTAAATACAAACCCTGCTGAATGCCTCAGTTACTGAGCAGTGAGCTGGGAACCATCTTAGCTGACTGTCACTGCTGGTGGTCTCAACATTAGTTTTGGGGAGACCTATCTTCGGCTGTTTCATCTTGTTTACATTTCCCTTTTTAAATCTAGAGCTTTACTTTTTTCCTTTTTTAAAATTTTATTTTCACATTTTCCATCACTCCCTATAAATCTAGATTTAAGTAATACACGCTCATAAAAATTCAAAGTCTAGTCCAAAAGATATAAAGTGAAAAGTAAAAGTTCTCTATATTTATTCATTAAATGTTGAATACCTACAATGTTCCAGGCATCTTAATTGGTGCTGGGCACATATCTGTATATTTTTATGGGGCTGGGTGCTGTTTGTTGCTATTACACCAGTATGGTCTTATGATACATATTGCTCTGCAACATTTTGAAATTTAGCAATATTTCTTGAACATCCCTTCAAAATAAATAGTACATATAGAACTAGCTCATTTAAAAAAATAAATTAGAATCTCTTTACAGCAATGCATTGTATTTCATTTAACCAATGGCCAGCTGTTAGACATTTAGGTTGTTTCTAACTTTCTAGTACTATTAGGTTGGTGTGAAGAAGCCCTGCAGGCCTGTGCACCAATACACCTGCTGGATAAAATTCTAGTAGCAGTATTCCCAGAACAAGGATTATGAGCATCTTAAAATTTGATGGACACACAAAATTGTACTCCAAAACAGTTATGTGAATATATGTTTCCTTTTTGTTCTAAAAGA